AGGTTTAAACTGCCTACTCTTCTCCTTCCTACAGGCTCCCTTTTAGCCAAACTGGACTTTATGGATGTTCTTTAATCTTGTCCTGCTTTCTTTTACAACTGCATTGTGGCATTGCCCTTCATGCCTTGAACATATTCTCATATCTACTTATTGAAATGCTTCTCTCAACTACCACCTCTATTAAAGTTTCCTTGATTCCTCTGTACCCTCCTCCCCCAAGATCAAAGTGATCTGACTACTCACATTTTCCTGAGAGAATTTTGTTTTGATTTCCCTTCTGCCTCCATCGTATTCTCCATTGTGTCATACTTGTTTATGTACGTGTTGTACTCCACTCCATTAGACTGTATGCCCCTTGAGGGCACAGACATTGGTAGTTTTCATCTTTGCATTCCCAGTGCTAGGTATAGCAGCCTTCATTGCACACAGATACTTGATAAATGCTCTATACTGATGTTGTGGTGGTTTGGTGTACATTGGAAATCACATTTTATTTCACAATTTAAAATCATTTATTTCATTTAATGATGATGAACAAATAACAGCTATGGTAAAAAATTTGTCATATGAGATGGCAGCAGTAGATCAGATTGAGATTTAAAGGCTTTTTGGCTTTGCATCAATAGATTAAAATTAAATATAAAAGTGTGACCTTTAACTCTAAACTTATCCCTAATCACAGTTAGATCTGTGCCAGCAGAGGCTAAACAAAAGAAAGCAGATCCTAGAGCACAATGTCATTTATAAATAGGTGATCTTTGCTTTTGGAAGTGTGAGGGTAACCCGGCAAGAGTTTGCAGCCATTTCTACCTCCAGCCTCCTTCTTCTGCTTACTATCATAATAATGAAAACCTTTTCATTGCTCTCAAAAACTAGGGTTCCATTGGAAATGTTAAAAGAAAAGCACTATTTTAATGGTCAGTAATTTTAAAATAAGCTTTCTTTTCTTTGATTAAAATCAAGTTTAATGCAGGATAATAAATTCAAGTTTACCTCAGTTAAAATGAATTGAGAGGTAATTTCTTTCTCTTGCACCTGTAGGGGTTGTAAATTCTCCCCTCTCTCCAATCCATGCATTTTAAGTGATACCCAAAGAAGCACGCTTGAGAGAGAACTCAGTATTGTAGAGTGCTGCAGTGTAATTAAATGGCTGATTTGTATAAATTAAAATGTTTAGGGCTTTGTAATATAAACACTAATAACAATTTAGTTCATAATGTGTTTATGCTGTGATTTCATAAGCCAACTAATACTTACATGTCTTTGGAGGTAACACTTTAAGATAGTTTGGCAACCATGATAGCAATAGAAAATAGATAACTGTACCCTGGATTCTCTACCCATAATGGCACTCCTCAGACATAACCAAACAGTGTGGGGAAAAGTGGGAAAAATCATGGTGTTACAGTGGAAGGCTCTATAGTACAGGTAGATTTCTGGAATTTTTCACAGGACGAAGAGGGAATGACTTGGAGTACTTAACTGAAATTAGTATTCTGGCTTTGTGTGAGGTTCCTCGGGCTGCTTCTATGCATGATGATGAAGTTAGGATTAAACCGTGTGGAAATGTTGGCAGCATTTAACTGTTTTTGTTCTCTTTAAATTGCGGATCCTCAGCCACTTCATACTCAGAAATGTCCAAAACTAAATTCATCTGCCTTCTCTACTTTCTTCTTTCTGATTCCCCCATTTCTGCTAATTGTATCAGAATTCTCTTAATCATATAGAATTCAATCCTTGTAGTTGTCTTCGATTCTTCCTGTTCTCCTAGTATCCACACTTCCAGTTAGTTGCCAAGGCCTAGCTTTTTTTTAAACCTTCATAGTATCAAATTCAACTCCTTTCTATTCCATTGTAGTTTAGGTCTTTATTAGTTTTCACAGATTCTTTCTAGTCTCCATACTACCAGACTCTACTCATCCTTCCAGTTCATCTTACTACATAATTCATTACTGTGATTATGTCATTTTCCTATTCAGCATTCAGTGATGTCCCCATTAACTACTGAATAAAATGCAAACTCCTTAGTTTGACATTCTGACCCGTCTCAGATCTGGCTCAACCTACCTTTCAATCTCATTTATAGCTACTGTGTTCTACAGTAAAACTGGGCTACTTGGCACACCCTAAAGCTTACTTTTGCTTGCATATTCTGTTTTGTCTCCATCATACTTTTCCTTACCAGTGCTAGTTGAAATGTTATCCACCCTTCAAGGCTCAACTCAAATGCTGTCCCCTCTAAAAGTAACTAAATTCTCCAGCCAGAAACTTTCTGCTCTCATTGCATGCTAATTGCTCTTTCTATTTGTACCTTTTCTTGGGGCACTTATGTGCCCATTGTTTTCTGTGTGGATGTCTACCTCTCTTATTGGAATGTAAAAATCTTCAAGGCCCAAAACTGTTATCTTGTTTATGTTTGTATCCTACTTTACCTCCCTCTGCCTCAATTTTCCATTTGTGGAATAAATGGGATGGACTAGGGGATCATTAAGTGCCCTTTCATCTCTGAAATAAAATTAGAAAATGAAAATTTATGCTGTTTCATTCTATGGACGGATGGTAAAATGAAATTGCCTGGCACTAGGGTATAGCAGACTTTGTCTCGGAGAGTTATTCAGGCTCTCCTAATCTAAGAAAAGCAGAGGATGCAGTATAGTCTCTCTCTTTGGTGTTCATTCTGCCATCAGATGAGAGGGAGTAAGAACAGGATGAAATTATTTAGAATCATAGACTGTTAGACCTGGAAAGATCTTTAGAGATGGTCTAGTCCAACCCCTAATTATATCAGTGGGGAGACTAAGGGCCTGAGAGGAGAAGTGCCTTGCCCAAGGTCATACAGCAAAGTCATATCTAGAAACCATACCTACTGAGGGCTTTTGTTACTGCACAAAAATGCATTTTTAGGCAAGACTTAGAAAGGTATCTGCAGGTAGACCAATGAATGAATGAATGCCCCTGTGAGATTTTCATTTTATCAGAGCATTTTTGGAATTTTTGGAGTTCTGTAGCATCAGACATATAGTCTCTTAATGGCACCATCATCCTCCCAGGATTATCAGCCTGAAGCCGTCTCTGACTCTTTCCTTTCCTTCATCCCATAGAGCCATTCATTTGGCAAATCAGTGAAATGTCTGTTGAATCCAACTGCTTTTCATTCCCAATGGACCCTCGTCACTTCTTGCTTAGACAGTAATAATGGCCTCCTAACTACTTGCTTATAGCCAGTCCCCTCTTCAGTTCATTTATATTCATTTGTGCCATTTACATCATGTTGTTCCTCTATTTGAAAATCTTCTGTGGTTTTCCATTCCCTACCAAGTAATATATAAACTCTTGACTCTGGCAGTCAAGACTCTCCATGCTTCAGTTTACCCATTTAGCCTTATCTTTTACTACTCTCCTTTTCTATTCTATCCATACTGGATTATTCTGTTTCTTTTTCATTCTGCCCTCTCCCACAATTGTGTCTTTGCCTATGATCTTCCCTCCTGTCTGGAATAGTCTCTTTCAGTTTCCATCTGTTGAAATCTCTTTCCTCCTTTGGGTCAACTCAGATGCCACTTTATCCAGGTAGTCTTCTCTAGCTCCTTCTCTTCCCACCTCCCCCAATCCCTGAAAATAATTTCTTCTGTCTCTCCTTCCCCCATCTTCTCCCTTCCCCACCACTCTTCCCCCCTTTTCCCTCTGTCTTTCCCTCTCTATCCTTCTCTCCCCCTTTCTCTCTGTATCTCATACATTTTTGTTCCCAGTGCCTAGTACAAAGACTTGAACATAGGTGTTTAATAAATGTTTGCGCTGAATTGAATTGCCTTACTGGTTACTCAGTCATTGAATCTGATACCTTGGCTGTCTTGGCTTTAATATCTGTATAAAGTGGAATATTTCCTTCCAGATTTATTCCTTAAAGTGTGTTTATGCCTGAGACTTGAACAAGAGTCATTTACAGCAAGATGAAGTAATATGTGTTTATTTAGGATATTTTAGCAATTTGGGAGTTTTTACTTTAAAGACACTTTCCTTTGGCTTTGTTGCTGATTTGAATGCTTCTTGCAGTGAAATTTTATAGGACACATTACTGAATTCCAAACATTAATAATTTATGATAAAAGTTGGTTTCTTCCTCTTCTAGAATTGGAGGCATATGCTGGAGTTATCAGTGCCCTGCGGGCACAGGGGGACCTCACGAAGGAAAAGAAAGATCTTCTTGGGGAACTCTCAAAAGTTCTTAGGTAAATATCTTTACTTTAAATGTGAAACAGATTTTCATTTTCAGGTTTCATTACAGTCAGAAAACATTTATTAAGTGCCTGCCAAGTGCCAGGCACTATGCTAAGTTTGGAGATATAAAGAAAGGTAAAAGACAGTTCCTGCTCTCAAGGAGCTCACACTCAGAGTAATATAAAAAAAATAATATTAGATAAGCTTTATAACTAATTGTAATATCCACCCAAATACTTTGTGAAACAAATTCTTGTGTTTTCACATTATTGGTGCTGCTAAGGGAGTCTCAAATTCTAGTCTTGGCTTGTGGCCAGCATTCTGGTAGGAATGTTGATTAGTAATGGGATTATAGGATTTTTGAGCTAGAAGGGACCTTGGAGATCATCAGGTCCGGCCCCCTCACAGATAAAGAAACACTCAGAGAGGGGGAGTGACTAATCTAAGGTCAGACAAGTAGTGCTAGCCAAGATCCCAGCCTAGGACTTCTGATTCCATACCTGGTCCTCTTTCTGTTACAGCATGCGGCTGTCGCATCCAAGTCAGAGCCTTTATTGAGGCAGGTTTTTGTTAGGTCCATAGGACATTTGGTGGGCTGAGATGTCCCCTAATCTAGACTGGCTGCAAATGGTAGAGGTTGTTTTTGACTAAGAGTATATGTAACATCAGGAGATAATATGATAATAGTTTGAGGACTAGAACAGACCTTAGAAGTTATCTAGTCCAACCCTGGTCCAATCCCTTCATTTTACAGATGAGGAAATTGATGCCTTGGGAGATTAAGGGACTTGCCCAAGATCACACAGTAGGGAGCCTGGAGCAGAACTAGTGATCAAGCCCAGGTCCTTTGCCTTGAGGTTTACAATGTGCTTTCCTTGCAGCAGCTCTATGAGGTAGATCAAGTATTATTAGCCCTGTTTCACAGAATAAGAAACTTGAGGCTCCAAAGGGTTTAAATTACATGTTCCCACACAGCTGTTTACTGTTAGAGTCAGAATTCAAACTCGGGTCTCTTGACTGTAGATCTAGCACTATTCTGACTACTCGTTGGAATGCATCGTGATATTTGAATTAGAGATGAATGATATCTAATCATAGCTGCTTGGTATTTCAAAGTGAAGAACATTTGAAGAATCTAGGGATGTTTATCCTGAAGTAGAGAACTTGGAAGAATATAATAATTATAAAAGGCATATGTCGTTAACTTTTCAGACAGGAACTGACCGTTTCCATGTTGGGTACTCCCCAGCACCTAGCATGGTGCCTTGTGTACATAATAGGCAAAGCATGAATGAAGTTAACAAGAAAATATTTATTAAGCATTCACTATATGCAATGCATTGTGCTAAGTGCTGAACATGCAGAAGGAAACAATGGCCCCTGTCCTCATGGAGCTCACATCCTAATAAAGGATGATAGCATATATAGGCAATAGTGTTTTGGTTTGGAAAAACAAAGTGATGGTAAGTGGACCCATCAAAGAGTATATTTATACAGTCTTTCCTTCTTTCCTTCTCTTCCTCTTTTTCTCCTTTCCCTCCTTCTTTTCTTCCTTCCTTCCCTCACTCCTTTCTTTCCTCCTTTCTGTCTTGTTCAGGCTAGAAGTACAACAGCCATTCATAGGCCCAATACCACTGCTCTGGAAGCTTTAATCTGCTTTGTTTATGACATGGGCCACTTTGCCTCTCCTTAGGCAGCCTGGTGAACCCCTGCTCCTGGAGGCTCACAATACTGATGCTCGACTTAGTACAGACACCCAGCTGACTTTAACCCTGTTGCAGCTCAGGTGATCTGCCAGTCTCAGCCTCCCATAGCGGAGGTTGCAGGCACGGGCCACCACATGGGCATATTCTTTCTAGTAGCACTTGTGGTATTGATTTGATGATGATTCCAGAGCTAGGATTCAGTTTAGCAGGCATTAGGCATCGATGTTGGTGGTGGTGGTGAGGGAGAAAGAAATATGATCAAGGAATGCTCTATAGAGAAGTTGGCAGTATGTGAGTTGAACCTTGAAGGAAGATTGGAATTCTGAAAGATGGAGATGGCATGTTAAACTTGGTAGCAACCGTTTGGTCGGTTTGTCAATAATGTGGAGTGTATGATGTGAAATTTTGGAAGGTTAGTCACTTAGTATATAATTGTTGAATTGAATTGTTACCTGGAAGAGGGAGTAGACTGTGTGTCTCTCAGGGTCAGAATTAGACCTAATCAATGGGAGTTTCAGGGAACCTGACTTGGGGTTAGTATAAGCAAGAATTTCTGTACAATTAAGAGTTTTCTGAAAATCAGACTGGCTGCTGTTACAGGTAGTGATGTGAATTCCCTCTCAGGTCGATGTTTAGACTAGGTCTAGATGAATACTTGTTTGAAGATCTTAGCATATAGAATGTGAAGGTATCTTCAATATCATCTAATTGAGTCCTTCCTTTTATGGTTGAGGAAACTTGAGACCTCAAGAAGGGAAATGGTGTCATCAAGAGGGTTCCAACTCAAGCTGGTTGACCGAAGTGACAAAAGGGTTTCGGTTTCTGAGAGTAAGATTCTTTGGTTCAGAGTCTGTCTCCTTGCAACCCGTTAGGACTGTTCTTAGATAAGCTAAACAATTTATGGTGAAGGTAATTCTGTTGAAACCTATCTTGATATAGTCCAATTTCTTTGTCAGAAAATTTTCTATTAACTAAAATCTTCCTAAAATTTATAACAATTTTTTTTCTTTCTTCAATGGAAATGAGAGTAACTTTTATTTGTATTTTACATGAACTTGAGGATATTATTAATTCACTCCTCAGCTTCATCACCAACAATAGACAGTTTTAGGAATAGTTTAGTTATTAGACTATTTGTGAAATGTAATCTGTTTAGTCTTTCAGTCTTGATTTTGTATTTGTTTATTTATTATCAGTAGGACACTTAAAAATTAGTAATATGATATGGCACAGAAGATAAACAACCAGTGAGTTGAGTAAGATGTTATTATCCTGGTGTCAGTTTTTAGAGCAGAGAACCATAGATTCCTACCATATAGATTAGATTCCTACCACTAAAAGCAGGTACAATGTCTTAGTCTCTCAAATCCTTCTTTCATTGGGTATAGAACTGAATATTCTCTGAGCTGGTGGCCCATCTTCCCACTTAGAGTAGTTGGGATCTTCACAATCTTCCCACTAGATGATCATCTCCCTTCCCCTTGAACAAAGAGGTAATGTGGTGTAATGATAGCCACACCTGGATTTCTGGAGCTGGAGGGTCTGTATTCAAATCTCAAGTTTTGTTACTACCACTGGAACTATGGGTGATAGTGATGGTGGTGGTGCTGCTGGTGGTGATGATGATGATGATGGTGGTGGTGGTGGTGGTGGTGATGATGATGATGACATGTTAATTTCTATAATGCTTCCCAATCACAACCTTACCATTTAGGCAGTATATCCCATTATCCTGTTATCCCCATTTTACCAAAAAGAAAATTGAGATTTCAGAAGATGAAGGGACTTGCCTAGGGCAACACAACTGCTAGGTTTCAGGTGTGGGAAATGAGCCTTAGTCTCTAATTCTTAATATTTCAATCACCCTTGTGGCAAACCACCTTCATCTTTCTGGATCCTCTCTATAAAATGGGTCAGAGTAGGTGGTTTCTAAGGTTCCTTTCAGTTCTAACTTCTATCAGATTTCTGCCAGTGAAGAGCTCAGCACCTCATGAAGCTGTGCATTCCATTGTTGGAAAGCTGTGATTGTTAGAAAGTTTTCCCATAATTTAAGTTGAAATCTGCTTTGCTTTAATTTCTTTTGGTTCTAATTCCTTTCATGCAACCCCTAACTTTTCCCTTTTTTTAGGATAAACTTGCTTTTTGTTTTATGCTTAGATCATTGACTTGTTTGGTCAGAGTAGTGTCTGCTTTTTCCCCCAAATCTGAATTGTCTAAAACCTGAAATGAACCTATACTCTTTTCTCCCAGTGTATACACACAGAGGTGTGTGTATAAACGCAACACACTCATACACACGTACTTTTTTCAGCCTTGAGTTCAGTAAACATTTATTAAGCACCTATTATGTAGAAAGTACTGTTCTAGAAAATGAGGTTGGGAAGATGGAAAAAAATGACAGTCCTTGCACTCAAGGAGCTTATAATAGCTATATAGAGTATGTATGATAGCTAATAGAGTAAATACAATTACACAATAAGAGTAATGTAAGACTTTTAACTTACCCTCCAAACCTAGAGCTTTCAAATTATTATTGAGGGCACTGTCATACATCCAGGTTCATCACTTTGATGTCATTCTCGACTTCTCCTTCTCACTCTGCATTATCTGCTCAGTTTATACATTTCTCAAATACATTCTCTTGTCTCTACTTACACAGCCATTACTGTTATTCAGGTCCTTATCATCACTTGTCTGGAATACTAACACTAACGGCCTCCTACTTAGTATCCCTGCCTCAAGCTTCTCCTCACTACAGTTCACGTAGCTGCCAGAGTCATTGTCCTGAAGCGCTGGTATGATCATGTGACCACTCCTCTTCTCCCACCTTCCCAAATAAGCCCCTGTGATTCTTGATTGCTTCTAGGATCAAATATAAATTTCTTTGGTGTTTAAAACTCTTCACAGCCTGGCCTCTTCCTGTCTTTCCTATGCCCTTATACATTATTCCTTCCCACCCCTCTCTGGTCTAGCCCTCCTGGTCTCCATATTGTTGTTCGCACACATACCTCCATTTCCCTTCTCCATGCCTTTGCCCTGGCTGCTATTTGTACCTAAATGCTTTCTTTTCTCTCTCCACCTCTTAGACTCCCTGGCTTCTTTAAGTAGCTTACATGGTACTTTTTGCAGGAGGCCTTGGCTGGGCTTCCCAGCTGCTAGTTAGTGCCTTCTTCTCTTAAGGTTACCTTGTATGTGCTCTGTCCTTATCCAGTATATATCTCTGTGTGTGTATGATATCTTCTCCATTGGAACGTAAGCTTCTTCAGGACAGAATTACTGCTTTATATGTGTATCCTCGGTGCTTAGTACAGTTCCTGAAACATTGTTTAATAAATGTTTGTTGATTGATTATAGTGTCAGAGACCTAAAAGAGAGGGCCTTATAAAAGGTTCCAGGACAGTTTGAGAAGGAAAGAGATAACTTAGAGATTGGGGAAAACTTTATGGAAATTTCCAAACAGAGCCTTGAAGAAGAAAAAGATTTCAACAAGTGTTGCTGATTGGGGCTTGCATTTCAGATGGCCTGTATGAATTCACAATGACAAGAAGAAATTGCTGGCCAAGATTAGGGAACAGGTTGGCATCCTGTTTGTCTGTAGCAGAGAAATCTCATTGTGGGGGAGGGGAAGAGGATTTGGTTCTGATCACTATGGTATTGCTTTAAAACATAAATATAAATAAGAAACAGCTTAGCGGAATTCTACGACTCTTTTTTTTTTTTGACAGCATCTCAACAGAACGCCACCGTGCTGAAGTGCGGAGAGCAGTAAATGATGAACGGTTAACAACAATTGCACATAAGTAAGCTATTAGTCATACTACACATAATTTTTATAACAGCTAGGGAACAGTGTTCCCATTATATAGTAGGTACCTGAGTCTTTTTATCTTTATGGTAATGTCTTCACTTACTCAGGGAAGCTGACTACAGAATTGAAACTGTATTTCACTGTTGTTTATCTAGTATGTTTATCAGTATTTTATCAGGAAAATAACCGTATCCAGGTTAAATCCTATTGCACTAAAACTCCATGTAACTTGAGATTTTTAAGCTTTAACTGACAGCCCATTTATATGGAATAATGCTCAATTCAGCTGAATTTCATTGCATACAAAATTGGATGGTTCCTTCATTTTCTGTAATAGGATTTGACTTGCATAGTATTGTATAAGTAGGAAATACAAATTATCTGGTATTTGAGTCGAGTAGTCAACATATTTTCTTATTTGTTAGGTGTGGGGTGCTCTGCTTTATGAGATTTGAACTTGGATTTATGAAAATCAGAAGTTATAGAATAGATAAATCACATCATAAAATAATATTATAGCAAGTAACATACCTTGTGCTTTTAAATGTTTTTAAATTTTGAACTTGTTGCTAAGAGGGTATTGGGGAGTGGAGTGAGGGCAGGGCTTAGGCATGGTTTGTAGGGGCTGTTGCCAGCTGAAGATGAGTCATGGGTGAAGGTAGGGCCACTGGGCAATGGTGATTTAAGGCGGTGGAAAAATATGAAGTGATATACAAAAATTTCATTTGGACACTTATCAGAGGCACATCCATTTTAAGAGTAAGAAATGCTTACTGAAATACATGTGTTATGTGTTTAATTTTTAATTAATAATTTTCATGTAAAAGAAAGAAAAACTAATTTGTTACTATGCAATATAATGTGAGCCATTAAACGGCATGTTTTAAATTAGTTAGAAATATTACTTTCTGCTTCTCATTTTTCCTAACCTGTAATCTTGATGACCATAATGGTCATTCACATTTTGTAGATAGGTAAACTGAGGCTCAGATTCTTGTGGTGGTACTGCTTTACTACATAGTAATGCTCTGAGGATTTACTAGCACTTTGAGGTACGTGAGAAATGTGCACTATAGAAATTTTGAATGTTTTCATTGGGGACATTTTGCATTTAATTGGCTCACTGACATGGTTTCACATACTAATGCATTCTTTCCAAAGCTATAAACTTGAATTGGAATGCTTTTCAAACAGTGGTTAGTGAGCTAGCTTCTTAGTTTGAGAATGCATAATAGGAAGATGATATGATTGTTAATAAAGTGAAGAAAAATAGCTTTCAAAGGCTCTCAAATAAAACGAGAATCTTGGTAGCATTGTTCTTGGACAACTAGTCGTTAAGTTGATGCATCAATTTCATACTTAAAGGATAACATTTATTTAGTCTCCTTTTCCTTTTTTCCCCCTTCAAAGAATGAATTTATCCTTATATTTGGGTGAGAGACCAAGTTACAGGTATGCAAATAGGTTATTATTATTTCAGGCTTTTACTTGTTTTTATTTAAAAATTCAAAATTATAGCTTTCAATTATTCAGGAGCATATTATTCAATGTATGAATTAGCCAGTCTCCTTGCTTTTCCTTCTCCTTCCCTTTCCTCCCCACTTCCTTATGCTGCCCACCTTTTAGCTACTTTGTTGCTTGGGAGTATCTTTAGTCAGAGGGTGGGAAGGGAGAGGAGTTGAAATTTAAATTAGTCAGTAGTCCTGGCAAAAGTTTGGTGGAGGAGGTAAAAATTAATTACCAAAATGTCATGGGTTTCTTTAATCTGCTTGACCTCTCCCTTTCCCTCCTCTCTACATTAGCATGGATAATTGAGAGTTGGCTTTTACCTGCCTTGTGTTCCTTTTTCTTCTTTTTTCTCCCTTTCTGGTTTCTTTTTACACATGAGTTTGACTTTTCTTTTTAAAAATTCTATTTTAGTGTATACATATAAACCCCATGGGTGTTTAGTACTTTTAATTTAGTGTTTTATATTGTAATACTAGCTTGCCCAGATGTGCTTTTCTAATGAATGGAAGGGATGAATGGCCCCCCCACTGTCTCCTCCCCCTTTCCTTAGAAGTGCCAGCAGAGCATACTGTAGCTCCTGCAGTTCTTCCTGAGATTACCTGCAGGAGGTCTCTGTACCCCCTGAGCCTGAGAAAACAACCAGAGCGGGGAAGGAATGCAGCTGGGGAGACTTGCATCCCCAGATTCTTCTCCCCAGGCCAGAAGGAATGGAACAGAGGCAAGGAGAAACCAGAGAAGACTAAGCACAAAAGGCGGGCTGTTTGGGAGGAGGGAGAGATGGGAGAACTTTAATAGGTAGAGTTCTTAAAATCAAAGAAAAGCTTCACTTATGGCTCTAGGTACATCCATGTTACATTGTTATTTTTTCATCATTTCCAAAGTTTGTAAATGTTTGGATTAAATTTAATTGAAATGCTATCTTAGAACCTATAAAAGATTTACAACTCGAAGGGACTTTAGGGATCATCTATCTAGTCTTATCCTTTCATTTTATAAAGGAAAGAAGCATGCCAGAGAGGTGTAGACACTTGTTTCAGGTCACACAGTAAGTAGTCAGTAACAGGGACAGGATTTTAGATCAGTCGTCTTATTGGACCTGCTTGGTCATAGTAGTATGAGTAGAAAACTCAGAATCTGAGGGGCTAGGGTCCTTTAACAAGGCCAGTTCCAGCCAGCTGTGATTCGGGGAATAGCAGGGAGGTATGGGAGGGATCTAGAATTTCTCTTCTTTCCTCCAGGAATTGGGCATGCACAGGGTACATGTGAGGTACTTTTCGAGGATAGAGATCATTTTGTTAATGTTCTTAATGTTTCAGGGCCCAGCAGGCCAGAGACTTCAAACAGCTCTTTAAGATTAGCGATTATTTTATTTATATTACCTCATTTAAACAGTTAGCACAGTGCCTGGCACATAGTAGGAGCTTAATAAATGCTTATTATTGACTTGACAATAGCTGCATGGGGTGGACGCTACAGGTATTGTTATTATTATCCCATTTTATAGATGAAGAAATTGAAGGTTTAAAGAGATTAAGTGACTTGCCACATTCAGCTCTATTGCTCAGTAAAGCAAACTGCCTCTGGTGCTTACCAGATAGGTGCCTTGTGGATTTTTCCCTAACGAAGACCGGTCAGGGCTTTCTATCAGCCCTCTCTGGGATTTCTCTCAGGACAAATGTTTCATTCCAGAAACACCCCCCCACCCCATTATATAGGGTTCCATTAATGTTCTATAGCCCCTCATATCTAGGATTTTCTAATGTCCCAAAACTCTTTCCTCCAAAAAATTACTCAGAAACAAAATACAAATTACACTCTTCATTCCCAAGCAAATGTGAATTTCTCTTTGATGAGCCTAAGTATTGTATGTTTAACATTTCACTTGCCTAAAATCAGTTCTATTGAAAAACCATTTTTTGCCTATGTCTCAATTCTTTGGCTCTGTTGGAAATATTTAGAGGATTTATAAATTCTCTGCCCAAGTTATAGTGCCATCTGTACTGTTGTTTCTCTGAATTCATGCTCCTGGAATTCATAATCTTCCACAAATTTTGGCATAGGCCATCATTTAAGTAATACATTAGGCAGTAGCAGGATGGACATCTCCTGCTTTAAAAGGTACATGAACAACAAAATCCTTTGTTGTCTAACATTTAAAAAGAAAGTGGATAGATGACAATTTAATAAAATTGATAGCTAAGTAGTGGCAAATTGAGATTTTTCAAACACCAGGAAAAAAAAGTAGAATAACTAATGGAAGACCCTTGAATTTTTTTTTTCCTTTAAAAATAATCTATTGCTTATTCTTATCCCTCTTTACTTCTCTCATTCTCCTTTTAAATCTCTTGCTTCAAACAGAGATTAGACTTTATAGATATAACTTGTAACTTGAAAGTTCATTTCTTCATTTTTGCTAGATGAGACTAACCTTAAAATGTTCCAGAGGAGATTCATATACTTTCCCTCAGTGTGAATATTGAACTGCTTTCAAGAAGTACTTTCCTAAGCCTAGTTTTAATTTAAATTAAGCCCTTCTCATGTTGTATGGTAATTCATTCTGTTCTGTAAAAGTGGATACCAGTTAGATAACAACATCCAGATCAATGTGAATAAATTGAAAGCTAAGTTAAATTAATATTTTAAAAATATATGGTTCTTAGTTATGCTGGTACATAGTTATTCATTTTACTAGAGTGTTGTATAGTTTTGAGCTATCAGTAGCGGAGAGGAGCTGTTTAAAATGAAGGGAACATTTCACTTTCCATTTCTAAAACTTCAGTGTTTATACATTTTTATCAGGCATCAAAGAAACAACATATATACGTAGACTTGGATTTTGTTTAGGCTATTGTCTTTGAAATGTCTGTTTTTAAACAGTATCCAGAAAAACTGTGTGTGTGTGTGTGTGTGTGTGTGTGTTTGTGCGTGCAGTGAAAAGAGGCATAAGCCAATATTAATTGATTGTGGTTGGGCCCTAAACTTGGAGATTAGCCAGTAGTCAAAATCAGCTTGTTGAACCAAGTCAAGAGAAGTGACCCAACTTCATTTGATACCTCCTCTCCTGGTTTGAGTGTTACTGGGAAGACATTTGCCAGAAAGATCTTTAGTGTATAACTAATTATGGTTTCTGCTTATTTCCAGTGCTTTAAAGTTTATCTAAAGTCAGCTTTGAACATGAAAAGGATAATATAATATACGTGCATGCACACAGCAGTCCTTCTCTGCCCCTCTGTTCCTTGCCCTCTCAGTTACCGTAACCTTAGGGCAGGGGGTCTTAACCTTATTTGTGTCATGGAACCCTTTGGCAGTCTGGTGATACCTATTGATCACTTATCAGAATCATAATTTTTTAGCAAATTCATAATTGAAGGAAATTTTAAATTTCAGTTAGATATATTGTGAATACAACCTTTGGGGTTTTATTCACAATAGATATTAATGAAAGAAAAGATGTAATTTTTTTCTTATCCAAGTTCACAGACACCTTTCCCCACCCACCTCCCCAAAATCTATCCATAGACACCAAATTAAGAACCTCTTACCTTAGCCTTTGCTATGGAAAGCTTACTTTGACAAAACCTAATGGAAGTTTAGTTTTTAATCAGCATCAATGAATATCTGATAAATCTGATTTGGAAGTTGATTTTTTCATTTTATTGGTAAATTAAACCATATTAGGAAGTTTTAAAAATTCCTAAAAAACAGTTGTCATTGATGAAATATAATATAAAACAAAAAGATTGTTGGAATCAATTTGAAGGCTCAATATTTTAAAAAAATGAAATAAATGTGGAAGAGTAACTTTTAAAAAATTCATAGTTTGCATTCTGTACATTTTGAAGTTCAGTTTATAAAACAAAATTTGTTGTTTCCTAAGTAAAGTGTGAAATAACCTGAAACCCTAATTATGGTCATTGGTTTTGGTATTGCTTCTTTAGAACAACTCTCTGCTATGCAGTAACTGTCTTACCTCAAAAGTCGTATTTGGTTGGAAAATATATAGTTGCTTTTTTAGCAATGGAGAACACTTGCAGCGGCCTCTTCTTTTTTGTTTAGTATGTCTGGACCCAATAGCTCTTCAGAATGGTCTATTGAAGGTCGTCGACTAGTACCACTGATGCCCCGGCTAGTTCCCCAAACTGCCTTCACTGTCACAGCTAATGCTGTTGCCAATGCAGCTATCCAGCACAATGCATCTCTTCCAGTGCCTGCAGAAACAGGAAGCAAAGAAGGTGAGAGGAATAATGTTTCTCCGAGAGGAGATGATTTTGACTGTTTTTCTTTTCATTTTATGAAAATCTGATCTGGATTTCTAAGTATTTTCCTCCAAATATTTAAAGGTTATAAGATGTAATGATGGACTATTCTGATTTAGGAAAACATGGTCACATTGGATCTTGCTTAGTTGAGACTTTCCCCAAATAAAAGGCAGGAGAAGTAAATCATCTGCTACTTAAATAGCAGAAGCCCTTCTTGCAATGAGTTTTTTAACCAATGTATAGCTGTGAGAAATTTATTTGATTTCATTATTGAATTCAAGGGGAATGTTTAAAAAAAAAAAAAAGGTGACAACAGTCATTTTGGCCACTGGCAAAAGTCTTGCAAAATGAAGTTCAGTCTTAGTCTTCTGGAATCAATAGTGTGCTACTCTGTTTCACTCAATGTGTCTTACTTCTGATCACTAGGCATGGCCTCTCTGATCAGTAGGCTTTTTTAGTTGTGATTTACTATAGTAAACAATCCAGATGACCAGTAATGATGCTCAGATTGTGCGTTCCTATTTAGACATGTATGACAGTTTGCCTGTGGGAATGACCCTCAGAAATAAATGCAGTTGCCAGATTACTTTAGACAGCTATCTTTTCCTGCCTAATAGTAGAGCTGAGAAAAAGAACTGGGTGATTTTTTATATTCATGCCAGGGTTTAGCTTAATGGCTAAAGATAGACGTTTTTCAAGGAGTGACATTTTCCCACAGTTAAACTAGACCTCCATCAATTTCTTTTACTCTTTTTTGTGGTGGGAATGTTACCTTTCTGATACCATGTCTACCCTTTTGCATCCACTTCTTTGGCCAGCCAGCTCTGGGATTTGCTGTTGCTGCCTCCATTTATTCTTTTCTTCAGATGATAAGGGAGTTGAAAGTGGAAACCAATTAGGTGTGAGTTCTGAGAGTTTCCTGATCATCTTACTTTGGTACCAGGAAACTGGGTACTTGTAAAAAAAAACTTGGCCCAAGCACTTCATTAGTTGTCAGATAAGCATTTGCCATTGCCTGCTAGTTGATGGTTGGACATTTCAAAGCTTTGTCCATTGTTCCATCAGTGGCAGGCCACTAATGCTGCTAAAAGGAATGCAGTTTAAAAAAAAAAGGTGATAATATTGATCACAATAACTACTTGCATTTATGTGATGCCCTAAGACTTATGAGCACATTCCTCACAACTTCGTGAGGTAGGGAGTGCAAGAATTATCCTCTCCATTTTGCGTATGAGGAGTTTGAGACCAGTCACATTTACTAAGTGGCAGAGCAAGGATTTGAATTCAATTCTCCCCTGACTTCAAGTCCAGTGCTTTTTACATGATATGATATCAAAGTGCCTGTATGGCCCACAAATGTGCTACTGCATTCTACTTTCCCCTTCCTTCCCTCCCTCTTGGTGTGGTGGCTGACTGAGACTTCTCAGGCCAGAGGACATCTGCAGAGGGACAGGGCATTACTATCTAGCTTTTGGTACCAATTACTGATGATAAGCTCTTTTCATTGACTTCTAGCTTAGTCATGTTAAATTGTTGAAATGGAAACTGTATGGATGCTGTGAAAGTTTACAAGATTTGCTTTCTTATTATTTGTTTAGTAGTGGTTTGCTATTCCTACACGAGTACCACATCAACCCCAACCTCCACCCCAGTTCCAAGTGGCAGCGTTGCAACGGTAAAGTCACCAAGACCTGCCAGTCCTGCCTCCAATGTAGTTGTTTTGCCAAGTGGAAGTACTGTTTATGTCAAAAGTAAGTGACACTCACTGTGTTGCCAAGGCTCAAGGCCGTCTTGCTTGCAGAGTACACCATGGGGTTGAATTGGCCCCCTTGGAGTAAATTGTTGGCTTGCTGTCCAGTCTTCAGCAGGGTTAATGCTTATGGGGTGTGACCAGGTGTGATACTTTTCAATCAGTCCTCATGCGAGAGAAATCACTTTCTTTCCATAGTTTTTCACTGTGGGGAACTACCTTTGAACAAGGCCTTCCTGCAAGTATGTAATTGCCTTATCATTAGTAATGTAATGGTAAATAATTGACACAAATGACACAGAATATCCTTATATGACTTGCTTAATGTTTATTTTCAACAGTTAATGTAATCCCTAGTATTTGTTAAACTATATTAAATTCTTAAAGATTGAATGCAGTTTTCTAGTCAGTTCATCATTTTATTTCCACTTGCCTGTAAAATTTTTTCATCACTTACTTTCACTTTATAAGGTAGTTAGATTTTTAGTTGTATTTGCTTCTAATTGCTACTATATTCTATTTTGCCTTAAGTAACTGATACGGATAATTAATCTGTTGTTCCTTGTTTAAAACAATATTAACCTTCTAATGAATATCACTCTTTGGCAACCCTTCAGGGGCTGAGATCATAGTCTTTATATGGTCCTGTTTCTAGGTTAGTTTTAATCAAATGGAAATGAGATGGGTGGGGGGAGATCTGAAGGATTTTTGTCTTGAGCTAATTAGCATTTTTTTTTGTCTTTGCATTACAGCAATACCTTAGATGGGTTTACTTTGATTTTTAAAAAGTCATTGCAAAAACAAGTGATTTATAGCAAATAAAGGGAGGCCAAGAATTGAATTTTCATTTTTTGTGTGGTGTTAGCAAAATTCTGATAGTCGAGTCCATTTCAGTGTAAAGACCTGTGTTTGAACATTTTTTCGATTCACCAATAGTATATTCATAGTCTTTAAAGAAGAAACAGTTAAGTCACAGAGCATGAGGTGGAAGCAATCCTTTCATCTTTGAGTTTCTTGTTGACTTTTATTTGGACCCTTCCTGTGCACTGCTCTAGTTCACATATAATGATATCTGTCCATGCCTCATGTCACCTGGTGGAACCCAGTTGTCTCAGAGACAGGAGTGTGTCTTGTTCTGTATTTATATCCCCACAGGTAGCACCAGGATTTGTATAAAATAGGAAACTAATAAAGAATTACTGACTCATTTCGGTTTAGATCATTCAGAGTAAACTTTGTGCATCCAGGGGGCACAATTAGTGTCAGTCATTGAGAGGTAGTGTGTTGTAGTGACTAGAGCACTGGGCTTGGAATTAGGGCAGCCTGGGTTCGAGTTCTGCTTCTGGCACATGCTGGTTGTGTGTCCCTGGGCAAGTTACTTAACCCCTCAGGGACCCAGAACAATCTCTTAAGACTCTAAATTGAAGAACAGTTGCTGATCCAGTTTGGAAGAAGAAATTTCCTCACTAGGGAGATCCCTTCACCAATAAAATCACAGGTCTAGACAAAAAAAAAAGTCATTGGGAATCATAAGGTGTTTTCTAATTAACAGGCAACACCTGGGGCCAGGATAACATTAATACCATAATCTGATCCCCTTTTAGGTGTTAGTTGTTCAGATGAAGATGAAAAGCCCAGGAAAAGAAGACGAACAAACTCGTCTAGCTCATCCCCTGTTGTCTTAAAGGAAGTTCCCAAGGCTGTTGTACCTGTCTCAAAGACTATCACTGTGCCTGTAAGTGGCAGCCCCAAGATGAGCAACATTATGCAGAGCATCGCCAACTCCTTACCCCCTCACATGTCTCCTGTAAAAATAACCTTCACGAAGCCCTCCACTCAGACAACCAACACGACAACACAGAAGGTACGTACGTACGTGGGAGGTGGCAATCGCTGTCATGGCACCATTCATCATTCTTTTCTAGGCAGGCAGTAGAAGGTGATTTTAACTTGGAACACAAAATAGGTCTATTTTTCAACCTCACAATTTTAGACATTGGGATTGTTCCAGAGAATCTCAGTATTTGTTTTCTTGGAATAATTGGAATAGGTTGTACCGAAAGTTCACACATCTGAAAGTGGAGAATTTTCCATGCTTTTCTTTTGGGGATATCCCCATTGCCTCCTTCACTTATTCTCTTGACCTCTTCACCCATTCTAATGACTCCTCATCCCTTTGAATTCAGTTCACTTGCCATTTTCTCCATGAAACTTTCCGATTTCTCCTCATTTGGTAATGAACTGCCTTTGGCATCCCATGACAATTTAACCTTTTCCAGTGTACTATTATGTATTATATTGTATCATTTATTTGTCATATCATATCCCCCTCCTTTGTTTGCAAGTTTCCCAAAGGCAGGGACAGTAAACTTTGTATCTTCTTCAGTGCTGGCATAGGGCCTAGAAGTCAGGAGGCACTTAATGTGGAGAGTGAATGAATGATTAGCAGCTTGCCTGGTAACCTCTCTTGACCGTGGTCAAGAAGTACTGGTCAAAGTCAGAAGTCTGGAGTTCTGTACTTGCCATGGTACTGCACTGCCTCCTTGACAGGCTCAGAGGATCAAGAATTAGAGGTATCTTGTCTAGCTCTAAGACCCTGGGCAAGGCCTCAATTTCTTCTCCTGTAAAAATGGGGATAATAATATCTATCTGCCTCAGAGAGTTGTTGCGAGGGTCAAATGGATAACACTTGCAAAGAGCTTGGCAAACTTTAAAGCATTATATACAAGCTAGCTATTTAGTTATTATTATTTTGTCCATGGTGACCTATGTATTAACTGGCAGAGCAAGCATTTGCACCTGGTTCCAGGTGCAGTGTTCTTTCTATGATCATATGTGGGTGGCACTTTCCTTCATGATTAGAAGCCATGACCACCTGTGCTGTTCTAGACCATTTATCTGCTGATTACAGTCTGATGAGTCACATGATGGTTTTTTTTTTTTACAGCAACTCATGGTCAAGGAATGATGTTTTTCTAGAAAGTGAATTTTCTTGTGACTGAAGATAATCTCTCTTTTTTAAATTCTAAAACTTTTAAAAACCATTTTAGATGGAAGTTTAAAAAAACAAATTGCATTTTTTGTATGTCATTACTCAGGATACACTCCTCATTTAATTATTTGTAGTCTTAACATTTTAACATTGTAAACAGTTTAATTTACCACACTTTTGTTAATTATCTGCTATGTTCAGGGTCCTATGTTCACCTCTGAGAATACAAGGATAAAAAAATAGTCCTTTCCTTTAAGTAGCTAGCCATCAAAATGGGGTTAAGATTTGTACAATTTAGTGTGATGTGGTAGAGTGTTAAGTAACTGGAAAAAGTGATATAAGAAATAGGAGGGAAAACTAACTTTTACAGACTTCATGGTGGAGGTGGGTGGTATCAAAACCATAACCTTATAGGAAAAATGAAGATTTCAGCAATGGAAATCTGAAAGAAATACGGCTGACCTGTGTGATTGAATGGAATTGGGAGAGGGTAAAATGAGGTCTGGGAATAGCTAGCAATCCAGTTTGACTGGACTGCATAATGTGAAAAGGAGGGTAGAGTGAAAGTTGGAAAGGAAAGTTGAAGTCAGATTGTGGAGGGCTTAAATTCCAGGATAAGGAATTTGTATTTTGTCCCATAGGCATTACTGAATCCCTGAAGGATTTTGAGCAAGGAGTATCATATTTAGACTGATACTTTTAGAGAATTATTTTGGCAGCAACATGAAAGATGTATTAAGAGAGACAGAGAAATCAATTAGGAGACTGTAAAAACAGTCTAAGTAGAAGTAAGGGTTTGTACTTAGGTGGAGAACTGTGAATGGAGAACAGGGGACTAATGTAGGAGAGCTTGTGGATATCAGGTAGTCAGCAATCCTTCTTACTAAATGCCAGTACTATGCTAGGTGCTGGGGTTAGAAAGATTTAAACAACAATTCTTACTTTCAAGGAGCTTCTGTTTTGCTGAAATATGATAGACTTAATAAGTCTGATTGGATTTTGAGGGAGAGGGAGGAATCAAAGATGATTGAGATTTAAAGCCTCTTTAGTGGTAGATGAATGCAGAAAAAGAAGAGAAAAGCATCAAGGAGAGGGCCTTGAGAGAAAATTCTTACCTGGGGACAAGAGGAAAGAAAGGATCCAATGAAGGGTACAGCAGAAAGAAGAGGCAGAGACAGATAGGAGAAGCAGTAATACAATGTTACAGAATCCATAGGAGGTCATCTTCTTAGAGAAAGCAGAATATTTAGGGGAGGCTTGAGAAGGTTTAGAACAGTGGTGGAGGGGAGTGTGAGTGTGTCAGGGAGGATTAGAAAGATTGCTCCACAGTAGTGAGAGAACAGCTAAGGTTACCATGAATTTGTGTTAGATCCACTCATTGTGGGGTTTTTTGCTTATATTTTAACCTAAGCAATCAGTGGCTCAGAAATAAGAGGAGAGTAGATGGTAATACAGAGGTTGAGAATTAGTAGGATGTGAATGGCTGAAGCTTCCCATAACCTGTGTAGCCTTCATCCTATGTAGGTTAAGATGGTTAGAGATCCAAAAGTGAAGTATGTTCCATTGTTGAAATGACTATGTAGTCAGAATTTTGAAGCGAGAGAAGTGAAACCAGTACAGGGTTAAAGGGTTAGGAAAACAGGGTAGGAATAAGGGGTTGATGAGTTATGATAAGGGCAGATAGCAGGCTCATGAGGGGCGAGATGGTGGTGAAGATGTAGGATTGTGATCCACAAAGGGAATTTTAAAGTTTAGGATCTTGGAGATGGAATATTTAGAAGTGAAGTCTAAAGGTGTGTCTGCGTTTTTGGGTGGTTAAAGGAAAAAGTCATGGGAATAAGCACATAAACTAGGAGGGCCGGTTTCCTGAGAAGAAAGGAAGCTTTCTAAAAATTCTATGTAATGTAATAACTTGGAAAGAGATGAAGATCATAAAACAGACTTTCAGTGAAAAAGGTTTTCAAACAGAAGCTGAGGGACTGCTTGTCAGTGATGATATAGGAGGAATGCTTGATCAGGTATGGCTTAGGTTGGATGGCCTATGAGCGTCCTTTCAACTCTCAGATTCTGTAATTCTGTGAATTAAAAATAGAAAAAAAATTAGAGAAATTTTCAGGTGACATCACCTTTCAAGGATTATTGTAGGGAAAAGTGCTTTGTAAATCTTAAAAGGCTGAAGAAATGTAAGATTCCCCTAGAGACAGTCTAGTATAATGGGGAGAACACTGGACAAGATTCCAGTCCTAATGAGCTTCTTCCTTAGCTTTGTGATCGTGGGCAGAGGAGAATGGGGATGTCTGTGTGTGTGTGTGTGTGTGTGTGTGTGTGTGTGTGTGTGTGTGTGTAAAAGGAAGACATCAGATCTTTGTTTTATGAGTATCAGTTTATTAGTTGTGTAGAGGATGGGTTAAAGATGGAAGAGATTAAAGGCAGGAAGACCAGGACTTCAGTACAGTAATCCAGGTTAGAAGTGATAAGGACCTGAACTCTGTGAGAGAGGCTGTGTGAGTGGAGAGAAAGGCATACATGTGAGAGCTGTCATAGAGGAGCAGTTGGCAAGGTGAGTCATCTTTGTGAAGATCACTTAGATAGAGGAAGGCAAAGAAAATCTGGTCCAGAGCCTTGCTTGAGGTATGTTCATGCTTAGTGGGCGGGAGAAAGAGGAGGATCCAGCAGGAGAATGGGAAGGTGTGATTAGACTGGTAGGAGAAGAAACTAGAGAGCAGAAGCCAAAAGAGGAGAGAGTATCCAGGAGGAAGGGATGGTCAAAAGTGTCAGAAGCTTCAGAGAGGTTGAGGAGGGAAAAAAAAAAAAGGCATTGGATTTAGCAGTTGGTAATATTGGTAGTCTTAAAGAACAGGAACAGTATCATAAATTCCACAACAGCATGGATCATACCTTAGCACAGTTCCTGGCACATAGGCACTTAATAATGTTTATAGATTGATTGACCTCTTTTATAACCCCCTTCCCTAGCTCATTTAATGTATTGCATATAGTAACACCCAACTGTATAGCTCTTTAAGATTTACAAAACACTCTCTTCATAACAACTTTGAGGTTGGCAGTACAAGTATTATAAGTTCCTTTAAAAAATTTTTTTTATTTTTTTAATGAACAGAGATCTATTTTCCCTCTTCTTCCCCATACCCAGTTGAGAGGTGGAGGAGAAAGGGGAAATAAATTCCTTGTAACTGTTATGCATAATAAAACAAGACAAATTCCCTCATTGACTGTGGTGTGAAAAAAAAAATGTCTCTCTCTGCACTCTGAATCCATCATCTCTCAATCAGGAGGTTGATAGCAAGCTTTGTCATCAGTCCTCTGGAATCATGAATGGATGGTCATTGTATTCATCAGAGTTCTTACAGCTTTGGTTTTTACAGTGTTGTATAAATTGTTCCCAAAATTCTGATCGTTTCATTCTTCATCAGTTTCTAAAAGTCTTCAAAATTTTTCACTTTTGTAATGTTGATATTATGATATAAATTATTCTGGTCCTGTCATTGAAAGATTTAAGATAAATCATAAAATGTCAAAGTTGTAAGAGCTCTTACAGATGTGATATTTAGAGCTTGAAGACACCTTTGAGGTGTTTGGTCATTCAGCACTGTTTTTACTGAACAGGATCCGAGGGTCAGAGAGTTGAAGCAATTTGTCCAAGTTCAATTGATAAGAAGCATCAGAGCTGAGTTTGAGTCTTTTAACTCCAAACGTAATGTTTTTCCCACTGAATTGTCACAGCTTACCTTCCTGGCTTCTCATAGTTAACAGTCTTTCTGTTAACAGATTTTCATGTCTGTGTGGTACACAAGCTCCCAGGATGTTGACTTTTGTGAATTATTTGCTAAATTTCATTATGAAAGACTCTAGGGAATGGTTCAAATTCTCCTTTTGTTATTATAATTTTATATGAGTACATGAAAAACTGTGACTTCTTCAGTGTGGAAGCTTCTAGTATGGGAATTCCCTTCATCAACTGTATTGCAACCCACAGAAGAGTTAGCAGATAGACCCCAAGGAATTAACAGAAATAGAGTTATTATATGACTAGAAATTTTATTCCAAGGCTGCTGACTTAGGGGAAGAAACAAAACTGATGCTGAGCCTCTGTGATTTTAATTATCAACTATGAAAAATAATTACTTTGAAGTTTAGGGGAAAGGAGGCTGCACTATATTACCCCTGTTGGACAGGCATATTATTGAAATGAAAAGAATACCTGATTTGGAGCCAGTTGAATTGGAATTGAATATTGGTTCTGCCACTTAATATAATTGATGTGACCTTGGACAAGTCGCTTTTACTCCTCTGGACCTGTTTCCTCATGTACAGTGAAGAGTTTGGACTAATTAATCTTTAGGAACCTTTCCACTTCCAAATCCTGACCTTTCATCTTCCATTTTCCTGGATATTTCTTCTGTGTTTTATCTGACCAATATGAATTATTAGATATGTACACATTCAGTAAATTCAGACACAGTGAAATATAGAATTAGGCCATTTTATAGGTTTGACTTTAAAAGCCAAAAGGAATTTAGCTCTCTGTGTCTGTCTTTTGATTTTACTGTGATTCTCTTCCTAAGTAGATACAAGGCACTTTGTAGAAAGGGAACTCAAACATTCTTGCTCTTAGGTCAGGGTGTTATTGGCCCAGTGTTAATTATGCTCACCACAAAATAAAATGCTATGGTTTTGTAATTGACTTGTAAACTATATTTGCTAAATCATATTATGATGCAGTTTGATATGTGTATAAAAAACTAATTTTTTTTTCTTCTTTAGGTGATCATTGTGACCACATCACCAAGTTCAACCTTTGTACCCAACATTCTTTCAAAATCTCATAATTATGCTGCAGTCACTAAACTCGTCCCCACATCAGTCATTGCCTCCACAACTCAAAAGCAGCCTGTGGTCATAACTGCTTCCCAGTCCTCTTTGGTCAGTAGCAGCAGCAGTGGCAGTAGTAGCTCCACTCCATCCCCCGTTCCTAATACCATTGCCGTAACAGTTGTGGTGTCCTCAACACCATCTGTGGTTATGTCAACAGTAGCACAAGGTAAGAGAAAACTGAATATTCATTCATGCTGCTGGAATGTGATGATGTGGGAGAAAGACTTTTTTGGAATTTGGGATCTATTTTTTCTTAGTGGATGGGAGAATGGACTAATTAATCTTTGAGAACCTTTCCACGTCTAAATCCTGACCTTTTAGCTTCCATTTTCCTATTTATTTTTCTGTGTTTTATCTGATTGGGTGGTATGGGAGTTTTCATGGACTGGATTATTGAAAAACTTGATATGGGGAGAGGTGAGAGATGTCATTTAAGAAGTGTCATTTAAGCTTGATAACAGAAAAAAAAATGAAAATCTCAACTTCACCTTAGTTAAGATAAGTTCAGCTCAGGATTGAATATTATACAGAATTCTCAAGAGGATCAACCAAGCACTATTAATGTGGGCCACCTGGAAGGACATGGAAATTGCCTGTTTACCCAAAACTTTCTACTCATCTCCCTCTCCATAAAAGACCTCATATCTTTACAGAGGAAATTGAGGTTATCCATTCTTCTGTACTTAAAAACTACATTTTCCCCCTTTATTTTCTGCTTCTTTGCTCTAGTCACTAAGAAAAGAGTGGTACTTCTCCCTGCCAAGATCATCGTTGCTTTCTGTGCCCTTGACTCCCCATTGTCTTTTTTATAGGACTTTTGTTTCAATTAGTAAGCTTTTTTTTCTACCTCCCAGCTCCCCTACCCCTAACATTGAAAAGCAAAAACCAAAAACCCTTGTTTTTGTAGTCAATCCAGAAAAAAAAAAATCCTATATTGGCCATGTCCAAAATGTACCTCATTCTGTATCTTGAGTCCATCAACTCTGGCGGGAGGTATGTAGCAAAATCATTGGTGGTTGATCATTGCATTGATCACAGTTTTTAAATCTTCCATAGTTATTTATTTGTATTGTTCTTTGTAATGTTGTTTCCGTATAAATTGGTCTCTTGGTTCTGCTCGCTTCATTCACAGCAGTTCATGTAAATCTTCCCAGGTTTCTCTAAAACCATCCTTTTTATCATTTCTTAAAACAATAATATTCCATTACATTCATAGACCATTATTTGTTCAGCCTTTCCCCAACTTACGAGTACCCCATTTGTTTCTAGTTCTTCACCACCACCAAAAGAGTTGCTATAAATATTTTTGTACATATGGGTTCTTTTCCTCTTTTTGCAGGGTATAGGTCTATTCATGGTATTTCTGGGTTAAGAGGTATTCATAGTTTAGTAAACTTTTTGGATCCTAGTTCCAAATTGTTTCCCAGAATGCCTGGACCAATTTATAGCTTTCCTAATAGTGTAATTAATGTGCCCATTTTCTCCCTCCAAAATTTATTATCTGACTTCTTCATCAACTTTGTCAATCTGATGAGTGTGAGAGTGAGCCTCAAAGTTGTTTTAATTTGTATTTCTCAAATTATTAGTGATTTGGAGTATTTTTTCATATTGCTATTGGTAGGTCCCTAATGTCTCAAGGATAAAAGATAAAATTCTCAACTTGGCATGAAAACCTGTTTGACTCTAGCCTTCCTTTCCAGGCTCATTACATTACAACTACACTGGCCTTATAATAGTCTCTAGACTCTTGCTATTCTTTTCGTGCCTTCAAAGGCTGACCTTGATGCCTACAACCTCTTCCCCTCTGGTGATGAGAAGCGCTTGCCGGCTTCACTATTCTGCTTTGCTGTTTTCTCCTGAGACAAGCCTTCCCTGATTCTCTTAATTGTTAGTGCTGTATCTCTCCTCACAATTATCTTGTTATTACTTATTTTTGCCTATACTGTATCCCTTTAGTAGATTGTAAGAATCTTTGGGACAGATATTGTTTAGCTTTTGTCTTTTTTTTTTCTCAGTTGTTTGAGCGTACTAGGTGCTCAGTATAGATTTATAGAATTGAGTAAGAACACTTATTTGGAAGAGTATTAGATTTAATGAAACATCACCTGTGTGAAATACTGTTTGAAGTTAGTGGGCAAAGACTTCTGAGTTTTGGTTTTTTTTTAATTTGGAGATTTTATTGACCTAGGGTTTGACTTACACAGCTGCATGTATTTAGTTTAATAACTTTCACTCAATTACCTTTGAGTTGATGTGTACTGTGTATAAAAGACTATGATGGCTGTGGCAACTTTAGATCTAAAGTTGTGTTCTTTACCCTAATTATCTTCTAGTCTAGTAAGTGGATAAGACATGGATAAGTACAGAAAATGAAAATATACAATATTAGATGATTTTCCCAGTCTGTCATTCATGTTCTGGTTTCTCTTTCTGCACTTCATAGACTTTAGACTTACTCCCTTAGCTAACCAGTTCAATAATATATTGTCCTATCCTTGAATCTTTTTTCTCCTTTCCCCATATAGAGTCTGTTCCCCATTCCTGTAAAGAATTCACTCATCACCTCTGCTTTTCAGAATCCTTGCTGGCTTAACTTGGGCACCATCGCCTCTGTGCATGATTACCTGATTCCCCTAGCTAAATGTGTTCTCTTTTTTCAGATTTTCTTGAACTTTTTATGAGAATCTCTCCTTTTCTTCCTTTCTAATCTACTTTATGTTATACTTAAATACGTGTTGTTCTCCTCCCCCCCCCGCCCCCATAGAAAGGTAACTTTTTAAGGGTTGAGAATGCCATTTAAATAAATTGTTGTGTCCCTAGCACCTGGCACTTAGTAGGAACTTAATAAATGTTTATTGAACTGCAAAATAAGTGATATGTGTGGTCTAAGGGACCATAGGAACATAGGCTTACTGCTCATATGTTCTAGCTCCTCCTCTTACAAATGAAGGGACTATGGTGCAGAGAGGGTTATATATCACTTGCCCAAGGTTACATACGTTTAGTAAGTGGCTGCACCAGCATCTGAATGCAAGTCCCCATCGGCAAGTATATTACATTTTCCACTGTATGGAGCTCTGATGGGAGACAAAGGAAGGCTTTGCGAACAGGGTAACATTTGAGTTGGGCTTGAAAGGATGGATAGGAAGTCAGCTGGCAGAGAGAGGGAAGATGTTAGATCTATTTCTGCTTGGGCTATTAATTAGGAAAGTACAACTATTTTGAGAATGGCTTCATTAACACTCAGTGACTAGCAGAACAGTCTTAGAAAGGAAACTGGTAATAACATAATGCTTCCTTCATCTGCAGTCTCTGTGGCAAGTTCTTTTGAGGGCATCTGTCATTAATTGCCTCTAAATTCTACCAAATATCTCAGTTAGCGTCAGAAATAGCAGACCTTAATTGTTCTTTTGAAATACTTCTAACCTAGTCCTTTCTGTGCTCTGAACAAATAAAGGGAGAAACAAATAACCTTGCTAATTTGGCCCATAATTAATATGTTAAAAAAAAACAACATTGTTCTGCATAACCTATTTTAAGGAAAAGACATCAGTTAAATATTGTTCCATTGTTTTCTATTGCAAGTGTACTTCAAGTTTGATTTCTTAGAATTGATTGTGAAGGGGCAGAAAAACGTAACTGATTCCCCACCTGGCCATCTCTAGTAGTATTCTTAATGTGAAATGTCATTTGTTGGGACATTTTTTCCTTTCTCCAGTTCTCATCACAGTTTGTTAAAATATGGTCATCTATTAGAAAGAAAGGAAACACTATCTATATTACGCTTCTTCCAAGAATGATACTATTCTTTTGGCTCTAGCAGGTGGTTTTTATAAGGGACTTATGGTATACTCTCATGGTAGAGAAATGTACATTCCATGCCTATATTTTTCATTTGTATTTTTTTATATATTATGGTAATTGTTATTTATTTTTTTGTTTTCAACATTTACTTCCACAAGATTTTGAGTTGCAAATTTTCACCCCATCTTGACCCTTCCCCCACCCCAAGATGGCGCATTCTGAATACCCTTTTCCCTAGTCTGCCTTCCCTTCTATCTCTTCCCCCTTTCTCTTATCGCCTTCCCCTTCAATTTTCCTGTGGGGCAGGATGGATTTCTGTACCCCATTTCCGGTATTTCTTATTTCCCAGTTGCATGTGAAAACATTTTTTTTAAACATGTGTTTTTAAAACTTTGGGTTCCAGATTTTCTCCCTTCTTCCCTCCCCACCCACCCTCATTGATAAGGCAAGCAACTAAA